AATCCCCTAATTTCCCAATCCCCTAATTTCCCAATCCCCTAATTTCCAAATTTCTCACATTTCTTAAATTTATTAAATTTCCTGAATTCTCCAATTTTCCCAAATGTCCCAAATGTCTCATAATTCCTAAATTTGCTAAACTCAATTTTTCTAAACTTCTAGATTTTCCAAATTTTCCAAATTACCCAAATTTCTAAATTTCCAAAATTCTCTTTTTCCCCAAATATCGTAAATTTCCGAAATTCCATAAATTTCCCTAAATTTCCCTAAATTTCCCAGTTTCCTAAATTTCTTAAATTACCTCATTTCCTCAATTTCCCAATTTCCACACGTTTAAATTTCCCGTTATCAAAGAACTTACATTCACAAATTTCAAAAGTTACCGAAACCTATCTCGAATCAAAATAAGTGCCTTTATTAATGTTACTTCAGCAAACATTCAACTCCGCCATTAGAGAGTACAGACTATTGAATAACAGAAACGATCATATTCACCGTTTTCTTCCTTCATGAACTAAGAACAAATGATCTTAGTTATATAAAAGCGTCTCGTTTCTTCCGCAAGAATAATCCATTATGAAAACTAATTACTAACAGAACAAATACTTCCTCCAATCAAACAATTATCATCTTTCTTAAGAAATCATTTGTATTGTTTCAGCTGCACTAAAGTATCTAAAAAAAAATCACTAATTAGTAACCATAATAAATTTTTATACTATTTTACATTCAATACTATAACTTTCTCCATATATAAATAACAACAACATGTTGTAATGAAATTTGTTTTAATTCAATTTAATTTGTTTTAAGTAAAGCTCCTTTCCTTTTAAGAATTACGAAGCGACATAAATTAAAATGTTAAATCAATAAAATGGCTTCAGTTCTTTGTGAGAATACATCCCTTTCGTTAGAAATGACGGTATTATCGATCACGTACCATCTTTCAATGAAGTATAATAAGTTGAAAAGTATAACGGACGTACAAAGCATTTCCATTTCAAGGATTCTATTACGTCACGTTCAAGATTTGTTACAGAAACTCACAAGGCATTCAATTAAAACTTTCATTCCATGTGTCAAAGCGTATTCAGAATGACGGCCATAAGTAGGACATCTTTTATACGCGCGATCGTACCGTGCATCTCATTTGGTTAAATTATAATGCATCAACGTATTATCATGTAATACGGTATATTATATTGTGCCGTATAATGTTACGGGCTTCTTCTAAGGCTTGTAGGAGTTAAGCCGATCAAATTCGTCTTCCTTGAATTGAATTTCATGTTTTACATTATAATTTGCGGCGAAGACAGGCTGCTGTCACTTCTAAGTTATTCTTGAAAGTTAGGAGAGTAATTAAACTATTTTAATTTTAAAATTTTTATGGACTTTTGTTTAAAACTTTTGTACTTTCATTTTTGAGTATTTACAGATGTAGGCAATTTGGAATTAGTTGATTAGGGAGTTTATTTTATTTTCAATTGAGTTATAATTTTTATAGTTTTAGAGTGTTATGGTTTTGCAACTTTACAATTTTATAATTTTACAAATTTACAATTTTATAACTTTACAATTTTACAATTTTAAAATTTTACAAGTTTACAATTTTATAGTTTTACAATTTTACAATTTTATAATTTTACAAATTTACAATTTTATAACTTTACAATTTTAAAATTCCACAATCCTACAATTCCATAATTCCACAATTCCATAATTCCGCAATTCCACAATTCCACAATTTCCCAATTTTACAATTTGGGATATGTGGGATTTGAGATATGTGGGATTTGGGATATGTGGGATTTG